AGCTCCGACTCCTCACTCCCCAGTCCTCACTCACGCTGCTGTTGCGAGTTGCCACTTGTGAACTTGCGATAATTTCAATTTTCAAAGGTATGTTTCTACTTTCTAGCGATTTCTATTTTCTAGCGATGGAAATGAATTTGATGAAGATTTCTAGCGATTTATTGATTTCTTCTGTTGAGTACTATTTGTTTCAAGTATTCTGTTTCTACTTTTATTCTGTTTCAACAAAAGGATGCATGTATGATGTATCAATTGAGGGTCTTTTTGTTTTAGAAATAAAATTCATTTTCGTTATTATATTAACTGTGCGAACATGATTTGACTGTGCAAACTGACATTACCTTTGAAGTGCTCCAAGCAAATCTTGTGGCATATTGACTTTGGTGTGTTGCTTTGTTATTTAAAGAGTCTACTTTGGAGTTTCTGATATTGTTTGCTCTAATAAGAACTTCATATGTTTGTAGTTATGTGTGGACCTACTGTGGAATTCATGTTCATTGTTTTAGCTAACTCCTATACTAGTTTGCATGACTGTTGCAAGCTACTTAAAAGTTAAAAAATCTTCCATCATTATACGAACAACTAGAGCCGTTTCCTGCTATTTTAACTCCATTTAGCTTTTGCATTCTCTTCTTGAATAAGTGATCTGAAAGAATACATGGGGGTGTTTTTCAATGGTCCTCATGATTAATGTATTTCTAATGTGCAATAACATCTCCCTCTGCCTGTTCTTTATGCCCCTAAATTGCGATCAATTTTGTGATTTACATGTAACTGAAGTGATGCATTTATACCCCATGATTTTTAATTTGTGTTTATATTTGTTTAATTTTGTATAGATGGCAGATACAAGTAGAGTAAGTGATGCTGGTTCAAGTGAAAGTTTACCTATTACGGTAGATAGTAACACCAACACCATTGATACCCAAGATTCCAAAAAAAGGAAAGCCATGCAACCTAGGTCTGACGTTTGGAACCATTTTGATAAATTTGAGGTTAATGGGGTTGGGAAAGCACGGTGTCAATATTGTAAACAAGCCTATGCGGCTAATTCATCTAGGAATGGAACAACAGGATTGAAGAATCATTTGCTTAGATTGGGTGATTGTGAGGAATGTGATAGAGTTTCTTGCAAGATTTCACGAGCTAACTAAAAAAGTTTCAGGTTCACGTTATGTCACTTGTAATTCTCATTTTGAGGATGTATCTGAACTTTTTTGTCATTTGAAAATGTGTTTAGCTAGTGAGGATGAGCATTTGAGAAAAATGGCTGAGCGAATGCAAGAAAAGTTCAAGAAGTATTGGGGTGAGCCTGAAAAGATGAATAAAATAATTTTTATTGCTTCTGTGTTGGATCCACGTAACAAATTTGAATATGTTGAGGGAGCACTTGAAGAACTTTTTGGGGAGGAAAAAGGAAAGAAAATAAATGCTGAGGTGTATGCTTATATGAATTCTTTGTTTGGAGAGTATCTAAAAAAATATTCAACTGGATCTTGCCCTCAATCTCCATCTAGATCTACTTCATCTAGCAACACATCTAATACATCTAGTGGGAGTGTTATAAGTGCATCAAAAATAAGGACTAAGCTTAGCTTGAAGAAACAAAAGGAAGACAATGG